GCATCCCAGGCGCGCCTGGGATGCCCCGCCGCCTGTATAACCGGCGTATAAGACGACCCCCGATTTTTGGGGGATGTTTTTTAACATCAAAAGTCGTCTTGTACGCCCGTATATACGGTACTTGTTCAGTATTGTTCCAGTTACAATTAGTTAGTTCTGTTAGTAGTTGTTCAGTTAGAAAAAGAAAATAAATCTTAATTCTATATTTTAAAAAAAAATCAGTTAGACTGCAATTTTTTTGTCTAACAGTCCTACTATCTTTGGGATGCCTGGCTCCCCAGGTTTCAAACGCTACCTCTCGTGCAGGCTTTCTATCCCCGTCTCCAATGGTCACTCCAACTGTGTGCGCTGCCTCAGACAGGCACACATTACAGCAAAGTGTGAGCACTGCAAACAGCTCACCACTCTCACAAGCAAGGCACGGGAGCTCCAAATGAAACTTCTCTCACTAGAGAACACTGTGAGGCTGGCTTCAGATCCGGAGCATTCATCTTCCCCGCGCCAACCATCACCCCGGCCGTGTCTGAAAAGTCAACACTGGCCAGTGTCTCCTTGAGGGAGTCTTCCTCTGACCAGAATAGGAAGAGGTCCCATTTCTCCAGAAAAGGTGACTCCCTCAAAAAAAACGGGAGCAAGCGCCTAAACTGCCCCCTGCTCCAATGCCTACCAGGATTCTGGATAAGGAGGCTCCAGGACCATCAGGTACCAAAGGTTCCTTAGTGTCAAAGGACCTACATAAGCCTTTGGGAAGAGCCAAGGCAAAATCGCGCCATCAGCACCACCGGTGCATACGTTGGCACCGAGAAGGAAAAAATGAAGCTGGCTAGAACCGCGGCACCACTGGCACTGAAGAAGGCAAAGCCGCATGTGGTACCATTGGCACCCAAGCATGCGATACTGACACCCTCTCACTCGGTACCATGGGTGCCACAGACTGCAGCCATAGCTCTGCCTCAGCACCATTCACCACAGAGGAGCAGCTCAGGGTATCCTCAGTGCCCACAACACTGCTATTTGGCACCAATGACACCCCCATGTTGGGCAGCTTCTTACGCTCGCTTACTCTACGTTCAGCACTGCCCTAGTTGAGCGACGATGGAGACGACTTGGTAGTCGGTACCCATTCTCTAAGACATTCTTCCCCGAAATAGCCTCAACCACCAACACTGCCAGGGGCTTAGCAACTACCTCTACAATGGTTGCCTCCTCCCATGTCTCTCCCCACTCCTACCCAGCTGACCTTATTGGAACCCATGGGCACTGTTTCGGGTTCAACACCAGTTACAGGGTCAACAGCTCATGACAACGGCCCCTGCTTCCAGAGTGTCAGGGGGTACGCCCCTGTCTGGGGTTTTGGCCCCCTCCTACCGGGCCTATACAGTACCCAAAGCCCCAACATAAAAGTCCAGGCTCCTCTATCAGGGCATATACGGTACTAGAGGCCTAGCCGCTCTGAAAAGCCTCCCCTGGCCCGGGGTTTGCTTATCCAGGGAAGGGAAAACGGGTGGTAGGGGGACTCAGGCCCTCCCTCTCCACCGGGTCCCAGCCCAGGGCCCTTTAGGCAGGGTCTGTGGCTACTGCCCGCTCGGTGGGGAATCTGGCCGATACACGCTGAGCCAAACTTTATATCCTTTGCACTGGGCTGCTTCCTACCACGCCCTGGTTCCCCTGGGGCCCATTCGCCTCTGAGGCAATACCTGCCGGGGTTGTGGGCGCGCTTCTGCTGCCATGGGTCGGCTGCTGCTTTCTCCGTGTCAGGGTCCGGCATGGGCGGCGACTCTGGTCCCAGCTGCTGCAGGAACACTGGCCCGGACTGGTCTCCTCCCTCACCCTGCGGCCTCCTTGACTGCAGGGCTCCTTCTGCCTTTATACCCGGCCGCTGCTGGGAGCATGCCCAGCAGGGTCGGAGGGGTGGGGCTTCCTCCCCAGCTGGGCCTGGGCTGTCCCCTGTTTGTCAGTGCGGGACCTGTCCACCCCGTCACACAGAGCATCATCCCTGCCACCCATTTACAGGTCGCTGTACCAAGAGGCGGAGGAGATTGCTTCAATTGATGAGGAATCATCAGCCTTCTCTCACACAGCAACTCACATCTCCTCCTCCTCTCCTGACGACAGCCTTATGCCCCCTCGACCCCAAGGGTGGGTTACGACTTCCATTCTTTTCAAGACCTCTTTAAAAGACTTTCTGACGTCCTTGAGGTCTCCCTGGTCAGCCTCCCTGAGACCCAATGCAAACTGACCAGCGTACTCCATGCCACACCAACCTCCAAACTTGCCTTGCCCATGGAGCCTGCCAAGATTGTATGGCAGATAGCCACAGTTCCACCGGTCTGCATGAGCTCTGATTGCAAATGTTATGTGGCGCCACAAGGTCTGGACTTCCTCTTTTCTCATTCTTCCCCCAACTCTGTCAACCAAAGGGGCAAACAGAGCGCAACACGTACTATCCCATATGACAAAGAGTGGAAGCGGTTAGATTTTATAGGAAGGAAGGCTTATTCGTCAGCCTCTCCAACTACATATATCAAATTATACAGCTATGTTGGCTAAATACACCCACCACATCAGCTATCACTTTTTACTGATCCCTTGTCAGAGGATAAAAAACAACAGTTCTCTGCCAGTATAAATGAGGGAATGTTGATCTCCTCCATGGTCCTTCAAGTTGCCCCACAGCCTCATAGACCATTGCAACAGCTGTTGTGATGAGGAGGTTCTCCTGGCTTCACCTGTCAGGTTTTCCTCGGGAGGTACAGGCCACAAGACAGGATCTGTCCTTCCAGGGATCTAAGCTGTTCGCAGACTCAACCAGTGCGTCCTTCAATTCTCTCAAGGATTCCAGAACAATGCTGAAAGTCCTTGGGATCCATGTGCCTGCAGCAAAGTGCAAACAAAGCAGATACTTTAATTAGCAATACAAATCCTCTCCTTTCAGTCAGCCTCAGAGGCACTTTGACAACAGGAGGAGACAACATCAAAACTACCACGGACCAGCCAGCCATGTCTCAGCCATCTACCTCCAGGCAAACGTTTTGAAGGTCGAGAGTCCAGTACCACCCCTTCACCCTTCATACGGAACAACCCCAATCCTACCTACTTTTCTGCCAACATCTCCCACCCTTCTTCCACCAATGGTCAGCCATCACGACCAACGAGTGGGTGCTAAAAGTTGTAAGAGCGGGATACTGTGTTCCTTTTACCAATATTCCTTCCACTCACCTTCCCTCCCCGTCCTCCTTTAGGGACCCATCTCACGAACGTGTTCTACTCCATGAGATTGACCATCTTCTCCACCTTTATGCTATAGAACCAGTACCTCAGCATCACAGAAACAAAGGCTTCTACTCCCGCTATTTCCTCACAACAAAAAAAATCAGGAGGTTGAAGACCAATTCTCGATCTTAGGAAACTCAACCGCTGCATTCAGAGGGAGCAATTCAAGATGGTGACTTTTTAGCTACCATAATACCAGCCCTAAATGAAGGGGACTGACTATCGACACTCAACCTCCAGGATGCTTATTTTTCATGTATGCATGTATCCTGCGCATCACAAATACCTGAGGTTTACACTGGGCACAGCACATTTCCAATACACAGTGCTGACCTTTGGACTTTCCATGGCCCCAAGGGTCTTTTCAAAACTCATTGCGGTAGTGGTGGCTCACTTCTGCCAGTGAGGCGTATCTATATTCTTCTTGGAGTGATGTCCCCATGGGTGCGCCACTGTAGGTGTTGGGCTTGTCCTGGTACTGGGACAAGCCTGAGACCTACAGTGGCGCGCCCACGGGGACACACATCTCGAAGAACAGTCATTACTGCACCAAGGTGAGTAACTTCCTCTTCCCCTGCTTCGACGACTGCCTGATCAGAGCACCCAGCCACCAGGAAGCCCTCAAGGCAGTCTCTCAGGCTATGTCCTTGTTCCAGGCTCTGGGACTCTAAATCACCCTGGCCAAAGCAAGTTCCAACCAGCTCAGACCATAGAGTTTATAGGGGCCTATGTTGACAGCACCCAGGCAATGGCCTCTCTCCTATACCACTGTTTTCAAACAATCAAGCACCTCGTCGAAGTGCTGGAATCCAGCCCGCAAGTTCCTGTAGGAACTTGCCTACAGCTTCTAGACCATGTGGCAGCAGCAACAGCAGTGGTGTCACACACCAGACTGCATATGAGACTGATGCTGAAATGGCTCAGAATGGTGTATAGACCCTATTACACCAGTATCAGCAAGTTGATATCACTTCCACCCAGGATCAAGAGCTCACTCCAGTGGTCAAAAAAATGTGTGTGCTGGGATACCCTTCCACAGAAGTCCCCTGACGATCGCAGTCATGACAGACTCTTTCCTCCTAGGGTGGGAAGTGCATTCAGGCCCCCTCACAGTCCAAGGATGAGCGCTCCCTTCATGTCAATGTGTTGGAACATTGTACAATATGCCTGCCAGAACTTCCTGCAACAGATACAGGGCAACACAGTATAGAATTTTACGGACAATCAAGCCACAATGTACTACATAAATAGGCACGGGTGAGCCAGATCCTTCTACCTGTATAGAGAGGCGACATACCTATGGCAATGGTGTATAGACCACAAAGTCCACATACAAGCCTCTTGTCTACCGGGCAAGGACAATATTATGGCAGACACCCTCAGCAGGCA